AAGCTATACCACTGACACAGGTGGCCTGTGTCCCTAACCACAGAGCCAGCCATGCCTGCCACTTCTGCAGGACGGGGGCAGCCAGGATAGCAGGCGTGTGCACACTTCCTGCTTTCCAACCACTTGTATCCCAGGATGCAAAGCCTAGCAATCACCCGCTCCTTGGCCATTTTCTCTTTCTGGGCTGGGTGTCCAGCTCCACACTGTGGTGTTCAGACTCTGGTCATCCCTCCTTTGCTGGCATGGTCTCCCTCCGTGCTGCAGCTTCATCCTGTTGGTCTGCCATAGTATGGTGTCACAGAACCACCCCTCATGGTCCTGAGAGGAGGGCCTGACTAGGAATGGCTGTTGAGGACGGGCCCCTGCTGGGTGCGCAGGAGTCAGGCCTCTGGGAAGTGCTGAGTGGCCATCCCTGCTGGGCCTCTCACTCTGTCCTCAGCACCCACAGCAGCTCCGCCCTGGCACGCTTGTTTCCTCAGAGCCCCCCCAAGCTGAATGAAGCCAGTTCAGATGCCAGCAGGGAGACTACGCATGTCCAGTCAGGGTCTGAGCCATCGTCCCAGGAGGCTGCCCCCAAGAAAGGTAGGCCACAGCTCTGCACACACCTTGGGAGACTCCTGACCACCAGGCAGGGACAGCTGTGGCCCCAATAGACGTGAGAGGTTGGCTTGATGTGCCTGGGATGGTTGGTGGGTGGTTGTGCTCTGCTGAGCAGGACAGGGCTCCTCGGGTCCCCGGGAGTCCCAGACCTGCTGACTCGGCTTCTTTCTTGGGTCTTCTCTATGCAGAGTCACTGGCCGAGTCTGCCGCTGCCTACACCAAGGCTACAGCGTGGACATGTTTGCTAGAGAAGGTGGAGGTCATAACGGGTGAAGAGGCAGAAAGCAATGTGCTGCAGGTGAGACCAAACATGCTGAGGTAGGCCTGCCAGGAATTAAGACAGATGGGCTACATAGCAAGACCCCATCTTCCACAACAACAAAATGAATCTGGGTGTGTTGACACATGCCTTTAATCCCAGCTCTCAGGAGGAAGAGGTAGGCAGATCTCTTGAGTATGAGGCCAACCTGGGCTACACAGAGTTCTAGGCCAGTCAGGAATTTTTTTGGCTCAAGGAAACCAAAATGAGTTGTATAACCATTGTCATAATTTGACAGTGTGTTTTCATCCCCTAAATAAGACCCTGTCCCAGTGAGCTTGACCCTAGCACCCATAAATCTTACATCTCCGGGTTCCCAGTTCTGGATATGTCCTATGGTGTGGAGTTTTGTGCCTCATTTTGTCACTTGAGTTTGGAATCCTTGGTTCTGTTGTTTCTGTCACTGGCTGGTCAATACTCTTTAAGGGGCTACATGGTGCCAATGACATGATAATTGGCCTCTTTCTGCCTCAGGACTCTAACAGGCAGTTTGATGTGTGTGTTTGTGACATGCACTTCTTTTCTGGGTGGGCAGTAAAAGGGACTGCCATGCTGTTGTCTTCCCCAGTACTGTAGGATGTCCCTGCAGCCAGGCAGCGAGCGCATCACAGTTCCCTGCGCTCCTTTGCTGTGGAAACAAGGTGGCATCTGTGTGTGTTTGGATCTCCAGAGTCCCCCTTGTTTACACACTTGGGCAGGGTGCATGGCTCCGTGGTAGAGCCTAGCATGCAGGAGTGTGGGTTCCATCTCCAGCACCACAGACACCAAAACCCATAAATAGATGACTGTGGGTAAGGAACAAAGCTAGGCACTGGCTGTCAGCATCCTGGCCATAGCTGGTGGACTTGGTATCCATGTGGGGTAGTCAATACCCCAATGTCACTGATAGCTCTTGACTTGAAGTGGAGCCTGAGCTTTGTGGGGTACAGAAAGCAAGTGCCCCAACCCTGCTTACTGACCTTGTGTGTTACATACAGATCCAGTGTAAGCTGTTTGTCTTTGACAAGACCTCACAGTCATGGGTGGAGCGTGGCCGGGGACTTCTCAGGCTCAATGACATGGCATCAACTGATGACGGCACGTTACAGTCCCGGCTGGGTGAGCACTGGGAAATATGGACCCTCCTAAAGGTGGGCTGGGGTCACACCAAACCAAAATTGTAGGTTCCACAGCTGGGGCAGGGGCATAACTGTGAGCAGGGATATCAATCCTTGCTGTGAGCCCCACACTGGTCCCTCTGGCCTGGGCCTGCTGCCTTCCCCCAACCTCCACCCCACCCCCACCCCCGCTCACTTCCTGCTCAAGCATCTTTAGCAGAAATAAGTACAGCTTGAAGCTGGGCATTGGTGGTGCATGCCTTTAATCCCAGCACTCGGGAGGCAGAAGCAGAGGCAGGCAGATCTCTGAGTTCAAGACCAACCTGGTCTAGAGTAAATGCCAGGACAGGCTCCAAAGCGATACAGACGAAGAAGTATAGCATGGAAGCAAGAGCAAGGTGAAGGCAGGAGAGGTGTCAGGCTGAGCCACAGCAAGGCCAGCCTGGGCTTCAGCATGCAACCCCGCCTCAACAAAACCAGAAGACCCAGTCTGAGTTGTGATCTCTTGGAACAGAGGGGGCTGCCCAAGCATCAGAGCTGTCCCTCCTGTTTCGGGGACTTGGTGAAAATGGTCTCTGTAGTCTAGGCTGGCCTGGAGTTCACTGTGAGCCTGCCGTGCCTGTGTGTGATCTCTTCCAAAGACATGGAAACTTCTTTCCCATTTGGTAACATTCCCTTTAAAAGTCAGTTTAAGCCTGATTGATGGTGGTGGTGCATGCCTTTAATCCCAGCACTCGGGAGGCAGGTCTCTGTGAGTTTGAGACCAGCCTAGACTACAACAGCTAGTTCCAGGACAGCCTCCAATGCCACAGAGAAACCCTGTCTTGAAAACCCCAAAAGAAAAGTCAGCTTAAGCTCAGAATTGGGAATTGGGAAATGAGACAGAAGGACTGCTATGAGTTCAAAGCCAGCCCATGCTTCTGAGATCCTGCCTCCAAAAAAAAAAAAAAAAAAAAAAAAAAAAAAAGTTGATGGAAATGGCTACGGTACTTCTCTTAGCAGTGACAGTCTGTGACCTGTGACACTGCACATAGGGTAGTTATGTTTTTTTCTACCCATATCAGATAGCAAACCAGGAGCCACCTTTGTGACACTCATTCCTAGAGCCTCACATGAGCTCCTAGCCTGAGGGCAGGGGCACTCCATAGGCCTGACTGGGTGGGAAGAGTTGGGACCTGCCTCACAGGCTTGTCTTCTGATGGTAGTGGGTAGCCTCTATCTCCAGAGGGTTCTGTGAAAGCACATCCCACCTGCCCTGTTCCAGACCAGCCCCTCCCTACAAGGGCATGGCTGTCCTGGCCCCGCTGGACATGGGCTGCAGGTTGAGGCAGGCATGTAGCTAAGTGGCCTCCTTGCTTCAGTGATGCGGACCCAGGGCAGCCTGCGGCTCATCCTGAACACGAAGCTGTGGGCACAGATGCAGATGGACAAGGCCAGCGAAAAGAGCATCCGCATCACGGCCACAGACGCCGAGGACCAGGGTGTCAAGGTCTTTTTGATCTCGGTAAGCTCAGGGGACCCCACTGGCTCACCTCTTGTTACTGGTGCTAACGTTACCAGGCAAGGACACAAACCTCTCCTGGGCAGTCCCTGGTAGCCATGTGCATGCCATGCTGTCCCCTCTGCTACACATCTCATGTGAAGGGATAACAGACCCCACTCTGATCTCATTGTCTGGCCTAACTCTCCATGGGCCTTCCAGCACCTGGGTGGTGGTAGTCCCTTGTCAGAGAAGTCAGCTGACCAGGCCAGTGTGGCCAATTGGCAGGCCAGGACCTACAAGTGTGGACACTGCCCAGCCTGGCTGCTAGTCACTCACACCTTACACACTGTCTCCCCAGGCCAGCTCCAAGGACACTGGCCAACTGTACGCAGCACTGCACCACCGCATCCTAGCCCTGCGTAGCCGGGCTGAGCAGGAGCAGGAGGCCAAGGTGCCTGCCCCTGAGCCAGGAGCCACCCGGGCCACCGAGGAGGAAGACAGTGATGAGGATGCAGTGCTGACTCCCTCAGGGGTCACAGGAGCTGGTGAGCAGCATAGTACCTGTGGGAGGGACTCCAGCTCACCACCGTGGCTGTGCGCTAGGACTGAGGAACCCGTTCTTTCCACAGGCACAGGTGATGAAGGGGATGGCCAGACTCCTGGGAGCACATAGCAGCGGAGCTACTGAGCCAGGCTGCTGCTTTGTCGTCTGTCCGCTGCCCGCCCCTCCCTGCAGGCCGCGTCATGGTGGTGTCTTGCTGGGGTGGCCACAGGCTGGATCCACGTGTCCCTGCTGCAGCAGATGGGGATGCCAGGATGCGGCTTGGGACTCAGACCTCATCATATTGATGAGCAGAAAGAACGTTCCCCACCCTCCTCCGATCGAAATGGCACGTTGACACTTGTCACAGCTTCTGCTGGCTCTTAGACCTGGCCTGGTCGCCCAGCCTTGTGGTGACCTTCTTTCCCTCCCTGGGCAGTGACAGTTCGAACTCTGGGCTCAGTGTTCTGTTGAGCATCCTGTTGTCTGCTCGGCTTCCCGCTCTGCCAGGTCCACATGGCTAATGCCTCTCATTCATTTCTGATGGCTTAGCTTTTGAGGGCCTGGATGAAGCTGCTTGTGGGTTGAGCTGACTTAATGTCCCTGTGGGCGGTGTCCGGCCCTCACAGTGACTCCCTAGGTTTGGGCCTGAGAACACCTGTCTGGAAGAAGGTGACGGGTTCCTGTGCTTTTGCTCGCCCGCACCACCTGGGCCTCCCTAAGCAGGTACCCAGCATAGCCCTTAAGTGACTGACCATCTAGGGCCCCTGAGAGGCAAAGGGAGCCTCCAAAGGGCTTGTCATTGGGCAGAAGACGACACCTCCACCCATGGACTGTGGCTCCATCTCTGGCCAGGCCACACCTGAGGAGCCAGCAAGGACACCAGAGGCTGCCTGGCAGATGGGTCACACTGCTTCCAGCCTTAGCCAGCCAGTGACAAGTGACTCCAGACATCGCCCATGTGTTTTGGAACATTTATGTAAGATTGTCATATGAAATGTATTTGAGAACTGCATTAAAACTTTTAACTAAAATCCCCCGCCTCCCATGCACCTGGCAGCCAGATGGGCTGGGTGTGGCCATGGAGGCCCCTGATGGGGTCAGTGATCAATCCAACCATTGCCAGGCCTGCAGGTGGCCCTGCAGGAGACCTGGTTCAGCCGGTTCTTCAGCCTCCATTCTCACATCTCCCCCTCCTTGTGTCTATCTGAGGCCCCAGGACAGTGGTAACAGGGTGGCAGGTGGGTCAGGACTAGGTTAAGGGCAGCTGTTAGGCAGGTGAGGGTTGCCACATCAGAGGTGCCAGGCACTGCTCACCATGGCCACGAACTCTGCATCTGTGTCCACTGAAGCGCTGAGCCCACTGTAGTAGTCTTGGAACTCTGCCAGTGTAACCTGTTTTTTTTTTGGGGGGGGGCAGGCTGTGAGGGGGACTCAGGCCAGGGATGCTGCCCCTGTAGGAGGTACCAGGTGAACATACCTGCCCATCCTTCTCAGATGTGTCAAAATTGTCAAGGAATTGGTGCAGGGCTTCATCCTCTGACCACTCTCCACTCTGCACCTTGGGGTGAGCCTGACCACTGTACACCCCTCGTAGATCATCCATGGTCACCACACCATCCCCATTCTGGTCCAGCTTGGCAAAGGCAGCTGCAATGACAGCTTCCCGGGCCTGGGACATGGGGGGCTGTAGCAGGGGATAGTGACTTAGGAGTGCAGGGGCTGGCAACCATCACCAGCTCCTGCCTCAGTCTCTGAGGATAGCCTTACCCGAAGTGCCCGCAGGAACTCCTCCAGGTCCAGTGTCCCACTGCCATCTCGGTCCCAGCGTTTGCACAGCGCCTCCGCCTCTGCTTTCCCCACCTCCAACCCCAGCTGCCCCAGGCCCTGCCTCAGCTCCCCTGCATCCAGGGACCGGCTGCTGTCCTTGTCCAGGCGGCGGAAAAACCTGGGGATCAAGATGGGTTTACATGGATGGAAACTGCCCAGGCCCAGAAGGTGTTTCAAGTACTGGGAGTGAGGGCTCACCTGGCTAGGCCCTGGATGCCTGAGGCCCCTCGGGACAGACACTGGGCCCTCAACTTCTCCATGGTGATGTTCACAGTGTCCATTTTGGGTGCAAATGAATAGCTGAGGAGGCACAGAACTCACAGTGAGTTTCTATTCTCAGCCAGCCTGGCACAGAGCTCAACACCCCAACCACTCACCTGGCCTGCTTGTGTCCCCGAGTCAGTCCTTCGAGTGGAGCTCCAGGGAGGTCTGTGTGTCCTGCCTGGCACAGCTGTTGCTAAGCAGTATGACTCTGGGGACTGGGAGGTGCCCAGCTGTAACTCTTTCTGTATCAGGCACATTAGCAAGCCAAGAAGGGCAGGCCCTGTGACTCCCAGACTCGTTGTCTACCTCTGGGACCACGGTAACTTCAAGCCTGGCTGGAGACTTGGGGCACACAGCTGTCCCACTCTGGACTACGTGGGGTATCCCAGCCAAAGTCAATCTAGGGTTAGTTGGACATGGTGGCACAGGCTTATCACCCCAGCTATTTGGGAATCTTGAAGTGGGAACAAAGCTGAGGCTGAAAATCTGAAGCCAAGTTGGGCTACAGACTGAAACTTAGCCTTAAAAAAATAACCCGGGGTCTGGTTGGTACACTGCTATGATCCCAGTATTCAGGAGATGGGACAGGAGTTCTAGGCTATGTGAGGCTGTCTCAAAGTCAAAAGAAAAAGCATGCATGGGTTTGCAAGCCAACCAGTGTCATGATTCAGTTAATGAGAAACTGAAGTGACATTTTGCTACCCAAATGGATATAGCCTGTTGTGCTCCAAACATTGCTGAGTAGCAGAAAAATAGCTCATTGTTTTCAGTTTTCGGTGCTGGGGATGGAACCCAGAGCCTTGGCGTATCAGACAAATGTTGCTAAGCCACATCCTGGGCACCACTGTTTTCTACAGAGAAATGTAAAATATAATTAAGAGTTACTGTGAGTGTCCCTTTTCACAGTGCTGGGGTAGAAACAAGGATCTTAACCCTGGCAAGCAAGCAAGCCCTGCTGCTGAACTACAGCCCTAAGCAATCCTGAGTCTTAATAAGATGCAAGGCTGGGAGTAAATCACAGCATTACAAACCCCACCTAGAATTCCCCAGTGAGAAGCTGAGGGCGTGGTCAGGGGTGGGGCTCCACCTAGAATCCTCAGTGAGGGGCTGGGGGCATGGTCAGGGGTAGAAACCCCAGTTGGGGACTGGAAGGCGGGGCTAGTTAAATATTCTCCTTGTCCCCTAAATTGGAAGTGGCTTGGGCTTGGACTTCCCCTTCACTTTGGCCTGAGTTTCCTCAACTGTCACTGGGAACAGCCCTGCAAAGATGCAGGGTGCCTGAATCCAGCTTTATTCATTAACCAATAAGAGAAACATAGTTACAAAATGACATCTCCGATCGTCTTTAGCTGTAAAGCCGTCCAAGGAAGCATTCTGCCCAGTCCCCACAGAAAGAATGACAGCCCAGGCTGAGAAATGACTAGTTTATTCTGGTGCAGACAGGACAGGCCCTAGCCTGCCTCCCCCTTATAAACAACTCCCTTCTCCCCTCTGTCTCCTCTACTGAGGGTCCCAGGCAGGAAGTTAGCACCGCCCAGGGACTGGCCAGCTGGAAGCCCTTCTGATTGGAGCAGCTCCTACCTTCCTGCTTGGTGGCTGTTCAAGGACTACTCCCTGACCTCAGGGACCATGAAACTCAACAGACCAAGTGCTGGTTGCAGGGGTGTGGGGGACCATTACTCTCAGAGCTTGAACAAAGGCAACACACCCTCACTATCGATGGCCGATGGCCGGGGCAGCACTGAGACTAGGAGCTAAAGATAGATTCTCTTTGGGTATCAAAGGACACTTGCTACAAAAACACCATTGTCCCCAGAACAGGGCAAGGGTTCACAGATGTCAGGGAGGCTCCTGGCTGTTCAGGGCTAGCCAGCCGTGGCAGGCACTTATATGGACAGGAGGCAGGAGGATCAGAAGTTCAAAGCCAGCCCAAGATACATAAAAAGTTTGAGGCCAGCCTGAACTACACAAGATTATGCGTCAAAAAACCAAATCAAACAATCACAGTGGAAGGCAGCAACCTGGTTGTAGGAGTTACTACAGGAAGGCTGGTTAGAAGGCCCCTCTGGAAGGAGACATTTGAGAGAAACCTGAGTGTCACCTGGAAAAGCACGGAGGCACAGGGAACAGACAATGCAGAGGCCCTGAGGCAAAGGCTGAGGCTTTCACGGTGTTGTCTCAACCTGCCTGCTCTCCCCAGAGGTGGAGGGAAATCAATGCAGGATTAATGATTTGTCTTCTTACACAGAAGCAACCGAAGGTAAATGAAGAGGACACTCTGCCCCAGATGAGGGATGACGGACGGTTCAGGAGGCACAAGAGTGAAAAAGTGGGCTCCCATCAGCAGGGCACAGTGGCTCAGACCTACATTAAAAGCACTGGGCTATGGAGGGGGACCCCATCTCACAGCAAAAATAAAAACAGAAAACCCAAAGACGACAGATAGGGCCTGGTGGTGGGTGCCTGTCATCCCAGCAGATCACCCTCCCTAGACAGTGAGAGGCCAGCCTGGGCTATGTGGGACCCTGTCTCAAACAGGAAACAGCACAGTTTCAGAGTCAAACTGAGATGAGGGGTCAGACTTCCATTACTTCACTAGTGCTAGGATGGCAGGTGTCTGTCTGTCAGTCTGCCACCACGCCTGTGCATGCTAGGTGGGAGCTCCTCCATTGAGCCACTGCCCTAGCCTTTGTTTTTAAAATTATTTAAAATTAACTGAATGTAGCAGATACCCCAAGCATTGGAGGAAAAACTTTTAAATGAGATATTGGCCTTTCATTTGTTTTGATGTTTAGCTGGATGTCTCGGGGACACTGGTGACATCCAGGGCTCTGGACCTTGGCCACGGGTGCTGAGATCTGATCCACTAGGGTAGCTCACACCGTGGTCCCAAACACGGCAGGCTGCAGATCGTCCTGGCCCTCTTCCTCTATGCTGTTGCCCAGGGGTGGACCTGGCCCATCGGGAAGTAGCTGACCCTGGTTGCTGGCAGGCAAGGGACCCAGTTGCTCAGCCTCCTCCAGAGCTGCCAGCAGCGCAGCCAAGGGTGGTCGCCAGCGAGTGATGTCCTGTAGAAGGTCAGCCCGGGGCTGCAGCTGCTGGATCATCTGGTCCTTCTGGTCCACTTCGGCCTGCAGGCTGCGGACAACAGCCTCAGAGCTCAGCAGCTGCTTTTGGAGGGTGGATATCTCCCTGGTGAGGGAGCCAAAGGAGGTAGTTACTACTGGGTGTGGAAGGGCCGCACCTACCTGCTCTGGAACTCTCTGAGGCTCCCTATGTCCCCTCTTTCACTGTCTCTTTATTTGCACGACTGTATGTGTGCACACATGCCCATGTGTAAGTTGGGGTACAGTTTGCAGGAGATGATCACTCTTTCTACCCTGTGGAATAAGATTCAACTGTCTTTTTGTTTTATTTTTTGAGGCAGGATTTCTCTGTGTAGGCCTGGCTGGCCGAGAATTCACTCTGTAGACCAGGTTGGCCTGGAACTCAGAGATCCTCCTGCCTCTGCCTCCTATTCTTAGTGGCAAATGAGTGCCCTTACCCAGGGAACCATCTCCATAGCGATGATAAAGTACCCCAACCCCATAGCATGCCTGTCAGCCCAGCACTCCAGAGGTGGAGGCAGGAGGATCAGGAGTTGAGGGTTATCCTCAGCTACACAGTGCTTCTCTCAAAAACAAAACAAAACAAAACAAAAAAAAAAAAAAAAAAAAAAAACAATGCCAGTTTTGTGTCTCCTTAGTAGGTCTTCCTTGTTGCCCAAAATGGTTGCCACCGCTCTGACTACTCTATATGGGTTCCGACATCACGGTCTTCAGGTGCTCGGTCTACCGATGTGGCTCTTACTCAGCAGACCTTGGGACATGCTCTTCTCTTCACACCTCCTCTGATCCTCGGGCGGGACAGCTGGCCCCGTTTGAACAGTTTGAGAAACTCTCATGTAGTCAAGACTGTACTCTTTTAACTCCTCCTGTAATCGAGGCTGGCCCCGAACTCCTGATCCTCCGGCCTCAGCTTCCTCAGTGCTCCTGGTTCCCAGCCCTTGCCGCCCACTTCCTCCGGGAAGTCCGCCGGGCTTCCCCCGAGGCCTCACCGGTCCTTGGAGCGGCCCAGCTCGTCCAGAGCGGTGCGCAGCTGCTGGTCGTGGAGGGCCAGGCGCTCGGCCTGCGCGCGCACCGTGCGCTCTGCCGCCAGCAGCCGGGACTCCAGCTCCACCACACGCCGGTGCACGGCCGCCAGGTGCGCGTTCGCCTCCCGGATCTGGAGAGCTGGCGGAGCGGACATGATCCCCGGCCGCCGCGCAGACCCCGCCCCACACGCCCAGATACTCCCAGACACGCCCAGCACGCGGAAAAGGCTCCGCCTACAAGCCCACCCACTGACGCTCTCCTCTCAATCTGCGGCCACATTCATTTAAACCCTCTCAAGGAGCCCCGCCCCACCCAGAAGCTAGCGCCAGGTGGCCACGCCCCTCAAGGAAGCCTACCTTCCTCTTGACTCTTGCTATTGGCCACATTTCTGAGAGGAGCAAGCCTAAGTACGGCCACGCCCCTTAGGCTCCCCTCGAGTCTCTTTCAGGATGAGCTCCCGCTTGGCTACGCCTCCGAGCCCAGCCAGGACTTGGACCAACCAATTGATATCCGTCAATTACAATCCTCACCCTATTATTGCTCCTTTTACCGATAATCACCGCCCCCCAATTTGCCACGCCCCCAAATAGTCGCACGCGGTTCTGATGCAGGACGCGCAAACAACCACACTCCACACGCATTCTGGACCCCCGATTAGCCATAGCTCGGGCTAATTAAGTGGAGTCCCGCCTCGCGCTGTAATACCTGCACTGCGATTGGTGTACCCTCTGTCAACCTCACGCATTGACCCGCCTTACGCTTCAATCGCAGGACTGCAATTGGCCTGGAAATCTGTCAATCCTTTGGATGATGGCTTCCCATCAATATTCTCTGTGCTAGGAACGCCGTTTTAGTTAGGACGGTGAGCCTCAGTTTACCTTTCCAGAAATGAAGTCATGGGTGTCTCTACTCAGATTCGCTCGTGGACACACGCACGACAGTTTCTGCTGCATGAACGAATACGGCCACACCCAGCCCTTTCCGTGTGCATGCGCATAAGCCGTGTCCATGTCCGGGGCGCTCAATAAAGTTGCGCGCTGAAGCCTCGCGAGAGTTGGCCTTGCCGGCTGCCCTTGAGTTCACTGCTTCGTGGGTCTCCGGAGCAAGCTTGGCCAGGCAAAGCCATGGCCCAGCTGCTTCTCAAGGCCTACGATGAGGTCCCCGACGGCACCCAGTGTCACCGCAAGGCCTACATCACCACTGCCCTCGGAGGCCTCATCGGTGAGCGCGGGCCCCGAGGGCGGAGGGCAGGGAGCGAAAGCCAGGGCACGCGGAGGTCAGGGCTACCGCGGTGCGATGCGAGACCGTAAGGTGCACGAGCTTGAGAATTTTGAGGGGCGTAGACCGGTCTACGCGATGCCCCCTGGGATTTCAAGGGGTCACAGGTCATTATCGGGATGCAGAACCCGGAGAAAATGTGAATGTGATGGTCTTTTTCGGATCATGGGGTGATGGGGTCATTTGAGGTTTTGAAGGTAAGTCGCCTATATTAACCGCAGACTCGCTGTATACCCGAGGGTGACCCTGAGCTCCTGATTTTCATGATCCTCCTGCCTCAGCCTCTCAAGTGCCTGGATGATGTGTTATTGTTATTGTGTCTGTTTTGAGGTTTTTCAGGCAGGTCCCCACCGTGTTTCCCAGGCTGGCCTCGAACTCAGAGATCCATCTGTCCCTGCCTCTGAGGTCAAAGGTGTGCACCCCCACAGGAGATATTTATTTGTTTACTATTATTTTGAGGCATAATCTCCCTACATAGCCCTGACTGGCCTGGGACTCAAAAGAAATTCTCTTGCCCCTGCCTCCTGCGTTCTGAGATTAAAAGCGTGCACCACCATGAGCATCTAATTCTAGAAGACTCCTGATGGGACACAATTGTTAGGAACGTCAGACATCGTTTTGGGGTGCCATGGGATCACCTTGCGCATTTGGGACTCTCACTGTGCACCTTTAAGGCCTCTTTCATTCATTAATTCACTACTCACTCATTGTGCACCCTTAAGGCCTCATTCATGCATTCAGTGTCCATGGGCCTCTCTTTCATTAGTCTACCCTAAGATTTTGCTCCCACCAGGCAAGTGCTGTAAGGTCAGATGATTTGGGGGATTTTTATTTTTGTTTTGTTTGAGTTGGGGGGGGGGTTGCTCTCTACATTGTCCAGACTGACCTGGAACTCATTCTGTAGACCAACCAGGTTAGCCTTGAACTCAGAGATCCGCCTGCCTCTGCCTCCCAAGTGCTGGGATTAAAGGCGTGCATCACTACGGCCTGGCCATTGATTTGGGGAATTTTAAAACTGACAGAACATTGGTGTTGGAGCCAGAGGATGACTGTGTGTACTGTGGGGTAAGGCTGGAATCTGTCTCAGGTAGATGCTGAGCAGAAACAGGCCCTTGCCAGAAGCACAGTGTCGGGGAGCCACTGAGGGAGGAGGTGGGGAATTTTAGTTCCTTGAGCAGTCTTCTCTGTGTGCCACCTCTTTTGTCCTCAGGCCTCTCATCCACCTGGGGGGACTTGTTTCCTGTCTGGCTCCCCTGAGAGGACAGTGCCTGAGAGCAGTTAACCTACCTTCCCAACTGTAAGCATTGCTGCTCAGATAGAAAGGTATTCTGGCACTTGGGAGTCACAGATGTAGCAGCTTACAGCCCTGCTCCAAGGAGAGGCTTGCCCAGTCTAACAATTCTACTCCAGCAGATGAGCGCTTGCCCCAGTGAAGTTTTTACAGTTCGGCTCCCTTCTGTTAGGGGAAAGTTTCCCCAGCGAATCCCGCTCTCATTTTCTCCATTCTGGTGAAGGAAGGTCTCATCCAAACCTCATTCAAGAGATCTACTGGGAGGGAAGGATCCTGGAGAGTGGTTGTCTCTGCCAGGGTGGAAGAAGACAAGAGCAAACTGAAGAGGCACAGGGTTTATATAGAGCTTCTTAGGGGCGGAGTTTTTCCAGAGAGAAGATTTCCAGGGTGGGATTGGTCAGATTTCAGTCCCTTGAGCTCAGATTGGTTAGATTGGTTAGTTTTCTGCTCAGGGTCAGGGGCAGATTTGGCTCTGGTTTCAGGGCCAAAGTATGTTTCTTTGGCTGGTCCTTTTTAGCCTTTTGGCTTTAACTTTAGGGCCAGGGTGTATTTCTTTCACTGGCTTTGATTCTAGAGACAAAGTCTCTTTGACTCTGGTTGCAGGGCCAAAGTGTGTTTCTTTGGCTCTACTCAGGGTATGTTTCTTTGTCTGGCCCTTTTTCCCTCCACTAACAAGGACTCAACTTGGGGAACTCATGAATGAATGAGTTCCTGCCTTGCCAGCATAGCATCCCTTAGGAATGGGTGGCTGGTGGGTGCAACTGCTCTTGGAAGCTCCCATGCTGCAGGTGATGCTGAGACTTGGCTGTGCCTGTGACAGGCCATAGGAGAGTCACCACAGGAGCAGCAGTGGTCAGTCCAGGAATGGGTCCTGTGACCTTTGGCTCATATAAGATGTGGTCAGTGAAGTCACCCAGGGGCCCTGTGTTCAGGCCTGCTCTTCATTCAGCCCAGCACCTAGCTCTGCTTCTTTGAGGCCCAGCTGGGGTCCTCAGTCTGTGTTGAGACTGAAACTTGAGATCTATAAGCACTCAGTGCTCAGCTCAGAGCTCACCAGGAAGGGCACGTGCAGTACATCCCCTGAGGCTAGCGGATGGTTGAGGGGCAAGACCCACTGCCCCACAGCCCACTGTGCCAGACTGGTGGTTCTGCCTCTCTGGGGCTGCTTCACCTTCCGTGAAAGGGAATGACAGAGCAGAATCCATCCAGCCTTGATTGGCAATGGCCCTTGGTCTTGGTCTCCCTGTAGTAGGAAACCTATGTCATCAGCTGCCCCAGGGAGATGTGGATGGTGGACTGGGGCTCCTGGCTCAGCACCCACCCTGGCCTCAGCTGCGTTACATAAACCACAGTGTGAAGTACAGGGCAAGGGGTGGAGGAGTGGAAAAACTGACCAGCGTGGCAGCAGGGTGGGTGTGGGAGGAATGGAGCCAGCCAGGTGTGGGGACACGTCTGGGCCGAGCCACCGGCACGTGGAGGGTCTGGCACATCTTGAGCCCAGTTGCTGCCAAGCAGGATTAGGCCCAGGTCCCAGCCCCTTGGAAAATATGGCCTTTGATGGGAGCGGAGGAGTCGCTATGGCAGCTGCATAGTTGATGGCACGAGGCCCTAGGTCACGTCCAGTGAACCACCAGCCTGCCAGGCAGGGAAAGGCAAGAGGTGATCCTAGGCTCTGGCCTGGAAGCAGTGGGCCTGAGTTCAAGTCCTGCTGTGTCCTGGCAGAGCTTCCCAGCAGCCTTCACCCTCTCTTCCCCCCACAGGTGCGATAGGCTCAGCCTACAGCGTTGTACTCAACCCCGCAGATTCCCACCTGGAAGCAATGGCCAGGGCTGGCCGGTACACATTCACTGCAGGTGAGCTAGCATCCTGGCAACAGGGACATGAACCATTCTTCACAGGTGATTGGCAGCGACTGAGTGGGGGGGTCCCAGGAGACTGGCCCTGAGCTGGCTAGGGGCTTAGAAGGCAGGGTGGTGGCACTCAGCTTTGTCTGCACAGACAGCCGGTGCTAGCTCAATACTGCCTTGGTTTTCCCACCTCCAACCCCCACTTCCCCTCATAGCTGCTGTCGGAGCTATGTTTGGCCTTGCCACCTGTGTCAGTGCCCAAGTCCGAGAGAAGCCGGATGACCCCCTGAACTACTTCATCGGAGGCTGTGCCGCAGGCTTGACCCTGGGAGCACGCAGTGAGTAACCACCCTCCTAGGGCAGTGCATGACACCTGATCGCTTCGGCCTCTTTCCTCTTCGTCCCATATGATATGATAGATAGAGGTAGTTGCTGCCATTTTGGCACCAGGCAGCCCTATGACAGTCACAAGTGCTGCAGGCCCACGGGCCCTGCTCTCCCACCTTGCCCTGGCTGCTGCAGCATCGTAATAAGTTCTGTGGTGCCCCAGGGCCTTTGTGCAGGTTGAGCCTTCCACCTAATTGCCCCCCCTCCCATGGATGTCTGAGTGGTGACCCCTGGCTGTCCTGCCTGTCACAGATAGTCAGTGATTGTCTCCAGGGGGAGGCGGCCTGGGTCCTGCAGGGAGCAATCCTGCCTGACCCTCTACCGTGTGTATGCCAACACTGGACTGATGCAGCGTCTCTTCCCAGTTGGGGCCTTTTGAGATTTGACCCACAGCCCAACTTTGACGGGGGCAGGCTCAGCCTCAGGCTACCTCCTCATACTCAGTGGGGTCCTGGGGTTCTGGCCAGGGGATAGCCTTGCTGGCCCTCAGTTCAATCATGGGAAAAGGCAATGGTAGCAGGGACATGTCCCCACTGTCAGGAGCCAGGGCTGACTGCATCCACCCTCCGCACATGACCTCTCTGGAGTGGGGAAAAGTTGGTACAGGATAGCCTGGCCTTGGTTTCCCTGTTTCCAAATTCCACTGCTAATCTGTTAGAGGTTCCCAAAGAAGCCTAGTCCTGTCAGACTCCATCCCCTTGGGAGGCTCCTTGATCATACCTAGAACACACCATGTCTGATGCTGTCCTTCCCCACAGCTCACAACTATGGGACTGCAGCCGTGAGCTGTGTATACATGGGCACTGCGGCCACGCTGTTCAAGATTGGCAAGCTGGAAGGCTGGGATTTATTTGCCACCCCCAAGGTGTGAGCAGAACCCCCACAGCAAATAAACACTGTGTGTCCCTGTGCATACGTGTCCTGGAGACTTGATTTCGGCCACGTGCTGTCCTCCAGGTATGTGTGTGTATAAGCAGATGTCAGAGGCCGAGGTCTGCACTGGACACACAGAGTTAAGAGGCAGCCAGGGAGAAGACCAGAAGACCACACACGCGTGCCCACTGGTCCAGAATGTGTGTGCTGAGGCTGCTGACCTGGCCCTGCATTTGGGTAGCTGCCGACTGAGGCCAGAGGGAGCCAGAGTTGAGTTCTGTGTTGACAATTCACATTCCCATGGTCAGCTACCAGTGAGTGGAAACCTAACCACCTCTACACTCAGGTTGCCGGCATCCCCTCCCAGGCCTGCCCCAAAAGCTAATAGCTTCTGGAAAACAGGCCAGGCCCACACACCAGTTCCTCCAAGTTCCTGGGCAATGGAGCAGAGAGTCCTGGATGGGCTGGCCTATCCTGCAGGCCGCTGCAAGCCCTGGACCCAGGATGGAGCCAGTCAGCCTGGCCAGGTGACACAGGGCCCAATCCCTGCCTTGCAGGATCCCTGCCTGGTGCCTGACAGCCCCGTGATTTAGGTGGCCCCGGAATGCTGGCGTCGCCCAGCCCAACACTGGCTGAGCTTCCTGGCAACCATGGAGGAAGCAGCAGGCTCCAACAGCCACAGCGGCCATAAATCAAGCTCTGTGTCCTGCCTAAGGAGCTGCTGAGCCTGGGCACTCGCTGCTGGGGAGCTGCATCTCCTGCCCTCCTGGAGGCCCAGGCTGACCTATAGCCCCAGGTGCCATCTCAGGATCACCTCCAGGGCTGTTTGAGCTGGACTTGGGGCTCCCTGAGAAAAGATAGGATGTCCTAAAAGGTACAAAGGACAAGGAGCTCAAGCCCCGGAATGCTGGGGTTTAGATGCTCTTTGGCTTTGAGTTCTGGACTCCTGGCTGTGTCTTAAAACAGGCATGAAGCCTCGGCTCTGCCCCAGCAAACGGGAAGAATGACTTCCCTCAGTCACAGCAGGTCCCTCCCAACTTCCTGGTTCTGGCTGTGTCCCCACAGAAGTCTGAATGGACTGGGGTGGCCACTGGGGAATGCAGTGCTATAACTTGGCCACCATGATCACCATTTCCCTTCCATCCTGTCTGAGCGCCAGGGACAGAAGGGGTTCCGCCAAGACCTGGCATGGTGCCACCCTACCAACTGGTCACTACTGTGTTTTCTGTAGCCCTGAGGAGGGGGCTTTCCAAGTCAACACCTTCTGCTCCCTCTCTTGCCTTCCAGGGTGCTGCTGGCTCTGCATGCAGCCCACCCAGCCCTTTCTGGGGTAGCTGCCAAGGCTAGAGTGGCCTGCCAGGACCCCCTGCCTGCAGTCCAGACCCCCAGAAAGGGGCAGGATGGGGTGTCTGCTCACCGGGCTCCAGGGAGCTCCAAATCCAAGCCCCATTGGCCATAAAGTTTTACTAGCCAGTGAAGGGCTGACGTCACCCCCACATAGAGGCCCCCATCCAGAATGTCCCTCGGCCTTCTGAATGGAGTAGTAGGGACATCAAGACAGACTCCTTGAAGGCCTGGCAGAAAAGGTCCTCAGGCCAGAGCAGGTGCTGGGGATGCTGGGCCACACATACCCTTTCCTAGATACACTGTGTCCCTGTTGCCCAATGGGATCTCTGATGGTAAACCACAAAATTGTCAGCAGGACACAAGAGTTGCAATGTGGCTTGGGGACTCCCACCTCTCCCCACACCCTGTCTTAGGATCAAGGCCCAAGTCCTCCCTGTAACCTTCAGTGCCTGCCTGCTCTGCACTCTCTCCTCTGCCCCTTGTACTCCGTGCTGGAGCCACACAGGCCTCCTTCATGCTCCAACATGCCAGCTCCATCCTGCCCTGGGGCCTTTGCACATGGTGAGCCCTCTCTGTCCTGCAGCCTCACCACACCAAATGTCATAATAAAGTGTGTGGTGAACCATGGCAGATTACATGGCAGGTGAGGGTGACCAAGTTGGGGGGGCACACAGACATGCCAGGCAGACAGAGCTTAAGTGAGACATTTTATTAGAAAGGAAGGGGGGGGTGGGAGAGAAAAGAGGTAAAGAAACAGGGCAGAAGAGAAGAGGGAGACAGGAAAAGTTCTGTCTGCCCCGGGAGAATTTGAAAGAGAGCAAAAGAGGGCGGGGTCTGGGCTGACCTTGGTACTGTGTGCATTGGGGGGGGGCATAATGCCTGAGTCCCTACAGCCAGCCCTCTGCCCAGTGGTTCTTTCCCAGTTGGCAACTGCACCTTCCACCTGTCTCCTGGTTCTCAGCTGAATGCTTCTCAGCTGAAGCTCTCTGCATCCCTACAGGCAGCTGTCTTCTTGACTTCTCTCATGGGCATGTGCAGCCAGCTCCGTCCTGGCTGCTACACCTCCTGGTTCTGCCCCAGCACCCAGTAAGTCTCAAATAGTTACACAGAATGCCTGAGTGAGGAGGGTTCATGTTAGCTGGTGGCCATAGTATGGCAAGCCAGGAACGATACCCAGGCCTAAACTGCTCACCTCGGGTGGGTGCTTGACTCAGGGCTCCACCTTATCCAGCAGTGAGAGAGAAATGACCAATGAGACACGCACCCATTAAGAACTATGCCAGGGAAACATGGGGCTAGGCACATGGCTGATAGCACCCACATCAGGCCGCTCACAGGCAGGCACTTGCGGGGAATCTGTGAGCACCTGTGTGCACCCTATACCACACCACACATGTGATTGGAGACCATAAAGATCCTTGAAAAACAAAGGGGAAGGTATTTGTCACCAAGCCTAGTGTCCTGGCTTGATCCCTGAAGCCCACACATTGGGGAACTGAGAAAGGACTCGTGAAGGTTGTCCCCTGACCTTGGCACAAAGCAACTGAATGAATAAACGTGGTTTTAAAGGGCTGGGCCAGGGCAGGTAGCCAGTGCCTGGGTCCATGAGGCTAGAGTGGGTCTGTGAGGAGGGCTTGGGCAGCTGTGAACATGAGACAGAGCAAGGCTTTCCAGAAGGGAGCCACTCTGGCCCAGGGCACAGCATGCTAAGACCCTAAGCTCCATCAGCAAGGGGTGGGGCACGGCTGCCATCCCAACACTGTAGATGAATTCAGGAGGATCCCCTGCTACATAGTGACTTGAAGGCTAGCCTGGGCTACAGAGCTCTGTTCTCAAAAACCGAAATACCAAAGGAAAAAGATAAAAATTTCATCTTAGGCCCCCCAGAGGGGGGCAGCACCGGCCCACCAACCAGAGGGGAACTGAGCCACAGGATAGCCCACTCCATCCTAGGTACTTTTCTGAAACAAGCCTCCCCCTCCATCAGCCCACACAGGCCTAGGGCTTCCTGGAAGTGCTGGGTGGTCGGCTGGAGCCTCAGGGCCCTGGGCTCTGACCCTGAACCTGAGCAGGGAAGGTGTGAGCCAGGTCGTGGGCGTGGTGGCGGGGAGAGGAGCATTCCTGCCAACACAGAGGGGGCCCAGCTGCCCTGGGGCCTGCCTGGCTGGAAACCCACAGACCCCACTCATTAAAGAAACAAAAAGCTGAACTCCCTTGTCTTTTTATATGTGTAAAATGTATTTTATGGCTTTTTTTTCAATAGGTAAAACAGACTCGAGCTACCTCAAAGGCTCCTAAGCTGCAGAGAACAAACCACAGGAGCACCCCAGCCCCACAGACACTATCATCTGGGGGGAGGGGGTGGCCCTTTTCTGCTGCCGTTGTGTTTTCTTTCCTCTGGCCTCATCCCCATTCCAGCCCAGCACTTGCTTTTTTTTTTTTTTTAATTTATTTTTATTACATATACAGTGTTCTGTCTGCATATCTACCTGCACGCCAGAAAAAGGGCATCACATCTCACAATAGATGGTTGTGGGCCACCCTGTGGTTGCTAGGAATTGAACTCAGGACCTTTGGAAAAGCAAGTCAGTGCTCTTAACCTCTGAGCCATCTCTCCAGCCAGCACTTGCTTTTTAATGACAGTATGGTATTCTAGCCCTCTCTCTAGTGCCCCTCCCCTACCCTCATTAAAGCCACATCCTGGGGAGCTTTCCTGTGCCCACAACCTGTAATGTGCTAATTAGTAAATGGATTTTCAGTTTACAGAGAAATTGAGCCACAAGGATAAAGTTCCTGTAAATCACTGCCTTGTTCCTTTGTCCACAGCTTCCCCCCACCCCCAGCTTGCATGAGTGGAAATGTTTGTTGTCACTGATAGCTAGTGTTGATGTCTGTCAGAAATCAAGGTCTGGCTGGCTCAGAGCCTGTGAGCTCATGTGGATGGTGGGAAATATCCTCACCTTAAAATCATCCGTGTCCCCCCAACCCGACACCCACCCAATCCTTCATAGCAGCTCCCTTCACTCTGCCATGTCCATTTAAAGGGCTCTTGTAGTCTTCTATCCACTGGCCCCTTGTTCAGACTTGTTTAATATTCCATTTTCTACTCAGGGAAGAACATGCTGATGTAGTTGTTGCCATTGTTCTTGCCTTTTCTCTTTCAGATCAGATCTCACTGTGTGGCCTGAAACTCACCATCCTCCTGCCTCCACCTCTGGGGTGCCCAGATGCTGTGTGTGCCACCAATGCCCAGCCTGAAGGACATTCTGCTTGCTTGCAAATCCCAGAGATTATGCAAATGGTTCAATAAACATCCGTGCGCATGGGTTTGGTGTGGACACAAGTTTTTACCTCCTTTGGGTAAATACTAAAAGTGTGACTGCAGGAGCCTGTGGTCAGAGCAAGGTAGCTTTGTGCGAGTCTCCATAGCCTTTCTGCTAGCAGCACATCAGGGTGTCCATGGCCCCAGGTCCTCCTCCGTGTTAGGCTGCTGGCAGCATCCACCATTGTGGCCCCTCTAGAGCTTTGCTTAACAGTTAGTTGAGCCCCTTGGAAGCACAGGAGTTATTTATGCCATTTTAGAGACAAGACAAAGGCTCTGAGATGGATAGTCACATTCCTAAAGTCACAGTAAATGGAGAGAAAGCCAGTAGCCTCATACCCAGACATCCATGAATAACAGGTGTTGA